TCTGGCCAATTCTTCGGGACCCCTAGTCGGACCCTTGATCGTTGGCCCCAAAGAGCGCTGGGGGCCCGTCTGGACCAAAGTGGAGACGTGTGCCCCCAGTGCCCCACGATTAATTTATTAGGCTGATAAGGTAAACATCCCATGTGCCGAAAAGGCACCTCTCATCATTTAGGCCCGGGATGAGCCCACGTCTGGTCGAACTAAAAAAAATAGGCATACGTTAGGTCTGGGAAGTGTCATTTTTGCATGCCCAGACAAGCCACAGGTCAAGTCCGGAAAGATCAATTTTTGCTCTTAGATCTGAGAACATGTCCTGAAAATGTCTGGGAGGAGATGATCCTATTTTAGGCCTATAAGGGGGACGTAGATGAGCCCAGATGATGATGAATGAGCCATCCATTCTGGGCCCCTCCCATCTCCATTTTCGGGAGAGGGCCGATGTTGGTACAGCCGCCGGCAGAACACATCGCTAGCATAGCCAGAGTTTTTTTCAGTCGCCAATATTTTCAATATTTGATAGAATTTGGAGGCTCCAGAACCGGCTAATGTTGCTGTTTCTGAAACAGTAGCGTAGGTAGAGGAGGGCAGGGCACTAGGCTATGTGCCCCCGCTTCGCATCCGAGAGGCCCGAAGGTCCCCTCGGGACCCACGATTAGTCGTCCGACTTGAGGGCCCGAAGGGTTCAAAAGGCCATTCGGAGGTCCGGTCACTTCAATGCCTGCCAGAGGGCCCTTGTACGGATCAGGGGACCCTGGGTCGGTAACAGGCTATATGTCGGATCAAACACCATCAGAAACGCACAGTCGGCTTCGTGGCGGCATGGGCCGGAGTGCCCATTTCTCAAGCAGGTACAAAAAAAACGGAGCCAGCGATTTACATTTCTCGCGGCCCCACAGCGCCAACGATGACCCTGTGCTGGCCCGAAGAGGGACCCGGGCGGCCCAACAGAACAGACTATCAAGGGCCTGGCTGAAGGGCATAACGGCCTGCAAGATTGGCTGAACGTCACATAAAGAATCGTGGTCCGTAGGACGATGACTTGAAATGTCGGTCAGAGGTCCTTTTGTACCGTTAAGGACCCCCTGAGATAATGCGAATGTCTAACTCGGCCAGAGACCGCGAACACCGGACAGATGGCTCCGTGTCATCCTGAACCTTGGGGGGCCATTTGCCAAACAGGAGCAAGATCAGGGGCCACGATTGGCATTGGTCTGGGTCTCTGAAACAGTGATTTGGCCCCTTGTCGGCAAGGGGCCCACCGTGCGTGATCGGGGGATATGTCTCGGCTAGTGGTCCCAGTCGGTCACGGACTTTGTTTGGTGAAGTTCGAAGAGAGACCGGAGGACCCCGCGGGATCTAAGATCAACGGCACGATTGGACTCGGACCCGGCCCCCACCCACCCGTAGTGCCATAACCTGAAACGCCAGTCAGAGGGCTTCTATTAGGTCCCTCTTGCTAATGTTCTGTATCCCTATATTTTGGGCCTCGACACTGAGCCAAACAGTCGGCTCCATCTGGCCTGCATAAAATGCTAGCTGGCCGTAAAACAAGGAGCTTTCAACGTCATTTCATGCAAATGCTAGCTTGTATAGTTATACAAACATATTAGGGTGAGAAATAACCTGTTGGTGGGATTTGGCGCAAAGGCATTGTTTCTACCTGATTGTTTCTAGCTGATTATGCCTGCACAATGAAATTACTTGTAGGGCTTGACTTGCACCAGCGTAAGACGCTATTGCTGTTACCAAACCACATCTTAATGAGTTCAATGTCGAGTAATCATTCATAGCATACACACAGCCTCAAGGGATTTGCAACTAATTAATAATGGTTACTGTGCAACACCTCTCAAACTACAAATGCTACTAGTATGAGTAGGGTCTCTGACATGATTAAAAGGCTTGTTAGAGATGCAAATAATCTAAGTTGGATACAAAAGGCCTGCTTATGCACACTAGTGAAATTGCATGGAAATCGTTTTTTGTCAGAGTGTTCAGTGTATAGTAGAACCTCCTAGAAACACTTGAACTTTTAAAAACTTTTCAGTGATTCAATTCAACGTGAAAAGGGCTTTCACGCAGGTAATAGATATGCAATGTGCATAGGACAGCACACATGCCCATGAATCTAACGTTTTATGTTCAACACAAGTTCAACTGCCTGCAGTGTACAGCATTGTGAAGCCAGCTGTCCGAACTAGCAAGCAGTTCGTTTCTCAAGTGCAAACGCTAAAGGTATCGTGAGGTCCTGCGCCTAGGAGCCGTCCGACTCGCCGGTCGGGGTCGTGCCGCCCCCGCCCACCACACGAGGGAGGGCGCCTTTTGTGCGCGGCGTGCCGCGGGGTGTGCCGCGATGCGGCTGGGGCCGCGTCCCCCTGTCTGCATACCATTGACGCCGACCACCCTGGATCGCAGCTATTTCTGACGGGCGAGGGCAGGTTTGCTAGTAGTTTCATTCATACCAGTTTGGAGGCGCCTGGTAACGCACTCGATCTCTGGACGTTGACCAAGATAATGACATGATAATGCTGCAGCCATGATAAATTCGGGCATGACACTAAAACGATAAAAACATAATAAAAACATGACACTAATATACTAGAATTCCAGCTCTTGGAAGGGACAAGTCTTCGAATAAAAAGAGCGCAGAAAGATCTACGCGAAATAGAACGACAGTTTCCGCAAAGTAAATGCAGAACACGACCAGCCGTACGCAATACCGACCTGGCTTGATAAAGCTGGCTTAATTTCTGAGGTGCAGTCAAACAAGGCTGTTAAGTACACCCATTGCCATAAGTTGTATGCCTCCCGCCACGTATCCCACAACACGCACCCAAGGTGCATACACCTTGAGCAGGCTGTTGGCAGTCTGCAAAGTATTTGATGCCGGACTGCTCAGTTACAAGCATTCCACGGGCACAGGCAGCAATATCGCGCCCACCTCCAAGGCCCGGCGGCTTTTGCCAAAGAATCAGATCTCACAGTGGTGACCAGTCCCCTCTTGCCCGCCGCGGCGATTACCCAGCGGGGTGGCGGGGGGAGCGGCGGCGGTCGCCACGCGCCGCCACCGTGAAGAAGTGTGCGTATGGAGAACGTGGTGTTCTGACTCGTGAACATAGCTATTTAACACACCGTCGAAAAACCATCCTCCCAGTTCTGACCTGAAAAACGGTCTGAAACCACTACGGAGCGCTTTGAGCACTTTTTCACGAAAAGGCTTAACAAGACCGGAATTTCGGTACAATCAAGCAATTCGGTACTGCCAGGTACTGGCAGTACCGAATTGCTTGATTGGTACGATGCCAGGTACTGGCAGTACCGAACTGCTCGGCAACTGTTTACATGCATAGAAATACTTGCCGCTGCATTTCCACACTAAATGGACCATGCCCTTTCATTCTGTAATGAGCAAATCGCGTTTGGAAAACTTTCATTTCTTCGTAATAATGGCCAAGCCCAATCTTTTTGGTCATCACCCGGTTATCAAAAATGTAGTCAACAAGTGGTAACATCGTTTTATATCGTTTGCAAGTAAAAGCAGCCTTCTGTTTTCATTGGTTCGAGCGATATGAGTTTGGAACGTTTTACTACCCCAAAAACGGCCGCTTCCAAATTCATGTTCATGTTCAGTTCGCTGTTCATGACCCACTGGCTGTGGAGGGCCTGTTCTGGCCTGTGTGGTCTATACTGGTCTGTGAAGCGTCCATTCTACCTTAAGACTCCATTCTAGCTTTTATTAGGCCCACTCTGGCCTTAAAATGGCCCATTCTGGCCTATAGATGGCCCATTCTGACCTGTAGAAGGCCTGTTGCCGGACCTGTTACTGTTGCAAAGACTGGCAGACAGATGTCCTGGTCCCTTGTATCGCTACTGCCCATTCTTGTGCGGAAGGCAGTCGGCAATTTGTGATCCTCAGATGCGAGCTGATGGCCACCACGGCTGAGAACGTGTGTTGCGGCATGGAGCCCTGTATTCTGGCAGACCAGGCATGATTGGCACTTGGTCAAGCATGTTAAATGTTTCATTATGCGTTATTCTGGAAATGACCGCCCATTTACTGAACATTCAGACAACGCAGTTGAGGTGTGCAGTGTTGCATATGCTGTGTTCTTATTTTGAGACAATTTTAATTTGACGGAAGGCAGGGTACATAACTGATCCAACTGTTGTTGTTGTATTCCATGATCAAAATAATTAGCTTGCTTGCTGTCGCCGAAGCTGCCGAAGTACCTTACAAATAGCTCTCACCCTTGTCGGCGTGTCTACGGGTTAACGCACCGCCCCGGGCCGTGACCGTTCACCTCACTCAGACATGAATCATCGCCCCACTTGGCTTACATGTTGACTCACCGTTCCGGGCATGATCAACTGCCACAATTGTTCCAATCTGTACTAGGTGATTTGGGCCATACAAGCATCCATCAAGCATATGCTTGCACTGTTCACCTTCTGTGTGGCAGCAAATGCAGCTGGTCTGTCTGAACGAGGCAGCAGTCACGGTTGGCATGCTGTTGTGCGCCGACCTGCGCGCCCAGCCGGCCAGCCCTCTCCAGCGGGCGAACGAGCCTGGTGTCTTCAACCGACCATTGCGGTACCAGGCGTACCGACAGTTCATCTTGTGGAGGTTTGTGAATGACTGGTACAGCCAAAGGCACCATGTTAGCAGTAGGTATTGTTCTATCGATACAATTTATCTTGCATTTTCTAACTGATGTATCTGGATACAGCCATTGTGATGCGACGGTAGGAATGTCATTACCGAGCTGTTAGCACGTCGGACTCCCACTGGGGGGGAGAAAGACGGGTTGAAATCCCTTTATGCCGCAGGCCCTGACTGGGGGGGGGGGGGGGGCCTGCCGTCCTTTCCGTTTTTTTTTTCTCGACCCATATTCACTCATGGAACCGCTCCCAACCTTCCAGTCACGGTCAAACCGTGGACTCTTTTAAAGCCAGGCCGTTCGCCGTTCACAGCATCAGTCGACAACACCAACTCTGCAAACATGAAGGTAAGCACACGTGCTCACATGAAATGTTGCGCTTACCAAAACTAATAACTGAGCGGTACCTATCATTTCTGTTGCATGCCAACTGCATAGCTAACAGACGATGTGAGCTTGAATCAGTGCATAATGATCACAACGCAATGCTTGATTTTATCCTTTTATGACAGGTGTTCAACGCTGCCACTCTACTGGCCGTCGCCGGCACCGCTCCTGCCAACAGCTTCGCCCCGCAGCCGGCGCACTCTAATGGCCCGAGCTACCAACAGTCGTCCTACAAGGAGCCGCCCAACTACGACACGCCTTACCAGTTTGATTGTGCCGTCAACGACCACTACTCCGGTGCCGTCTCCTCTCAGATAGAAAACAGCGACACCAAGAATATCAACGGCTACTATTTGGTCAACCTGTCCGATGGTCGTACACAGCACGTCAAGTACGTCGCTGGCAAGCACGGCTACGGAGGCTACAACGCCGAGGTGACCTATTCTGGTACTCTGGCTCGCTACGAGGAGCACAAGCCTAGCTACCACTCGGTCGCGGTCTAGAAGCCCACTCGCTCTTATTTCCCGGCCGCGATCTACAAGCCCGCTCGCTCTTATGCTCCGGCCCCGGCCTACAAGCCTGCTCACCCGTATGCCCCTGCCCCGGCGTACAAGCCTGCTCGCTCTTATGCCACTGCGTCGGCCTACAAGACCAAATATTCAACACCTAGTGCTTTCCGGGGTGTGAAAGCCTATTTATATGATGCCAATTTGTACTTGTGAAGTTCTGTATCCATTGTTGTGATGACGAATACAATGAATTGGTGTAAAAGCAGATCGATGTATTGCATTGTAACTCCAAAAGAGGAGGAATCGACGGAATCCCTACGGGAATGCTTTTGACAGGTTCTTCTCACTTTTGGCTTACAACTGGTTAGTTGTAGGTTTATGCGTGCTCAACGGTGATGCATACAAGAATTGTTGTCTAGTCGTGAAAAGAGGACTACAAAAATTTCTGACGATTAGTTACAAGCCTGTTGCCACTGCCAGTCGTTATTTTCTCCACCTACACATCACCTATTGAGAGGTGACCTGGAGTCCCTCCTACCCTAGCTACCGCGGCACATATACCCTCACGTCAATACCGGCATTAGTAACTGACTGGCCCCGGCCCACAAGCCAGCTCGCTCTTATGCCCTGGCCCGGCGTACAAGCCAGCTCGCCCTTTTGTCCCGGTCCGGGGTACAAGCCAGCTCGGTCTTATGTCCCGGTCCGGGGTACAAGCCTGCTCGCTCTCATGCCCCGGCTCGGCGTACAAGCCTGCTTGCTCTTATGTCCTGGTCTGACGTACAAGCCCGCTAGCTCTCATGCCCCTGCCCCGGTGTACAAGCCTGATCGCTTTTATGCCCCCTGCCGTGGACTGCAAGTCTGCTCACTGTTATGTCCCAAGCCCGGCCTGCAAGCTTGCAAGCCTAGAGGCTTCAACCTGCAAGCCTCTTGTGCCCCTGCCCCAGCGTACACGTCTGTTCCCTCTGATATCCCTGCCCCCACCTACAAATCTTCTCGCTCTCATGCCCCGGCTCCGGCCTACAAATCTGTTTGTTGTTATGCCCAGCCTGCGCCTGCAAATCTGCTCGCAGTCATACCCGACCCCGGCCCCGGCCTACAAGCCCGTCCACTCGTCTGCCCCGGCCCCGGCCTACCAGCCTGCTCGCTCGTATGCCCCGGCTCCGGACTACAAACCCGTTAACTGAATGCCTAGTGCTTCTGGTGTGTGAATACCTATTTGTAACGTGCAGCCAATCTGTTCTATTGGAATTTGTTTGAAGTGTCGCGATGAGCAGCAATACGTTGTACAACCAAAGGTACGGATGAGTGCCTCCCCGTGATCGGGGGAAAAATCGTGATCGCCCAGTGCCGCTGGACTCCTAATCCAGCGGCACTGGTTGCGTGGAGGCCCAGTGCAGGTCTGACCCGACTCGATTTTTACCCGACTGGCATGAAAATGACCAGCTGACAACTGGCCAATGAGTTTCAAGCCAAGGCTGGGGCATTGTGCAGCACACAAAACAATTCGCGGTCCTCCCTGGCAAAAGGGCCGAGGTAACATTATCGGATTAACTGGTCGTCAAAACTTGGGTCATGGGTTGAGGGTCCTTAGTTTGTACACGTAACAAGCTATGCCTAAAAGGTGCTCTAAACACAAGACCACTCATGCAAAGCATTCGGAACTAAATACGATCAGTATAGAAAATGGCTGGGTGCATAAGGAAAAACCTGTATGAAGCGTTGGTCTACGACGGGCTAGTTGTAAGGTGTGCATGTCGCAGGCGCTTGGCATAATCCAGCAGTTGAGGGGAAAAAGCATGGAATGTGAGGCGAGTGTTTTACGTGACGCTTGTAGAATTACCGGTACTGCGCGATCTGACCATAAATTACGATACGAAACGCCATAGGAGCGTTTAGTGCTTCATGTTTTACCTCATCCAAGAGCACAATATTTGGCATATACCAAATTTCGGTCATAATAATCGTTATATAGATGCTAGATGATGGGGCTTAAGTCAACATGGCGGATGGGGGCGGAAACTTCACATTAGAACAGAAAAATCCGCGGTAGATAATTCATTCATTTAGTTTAGCCATGCGTGGTCCAATTATTAGTTGGTCTGGCATTCTTTGAATTATGATCCGTGGTCCAATGTCTGCCCTTTCCCTTGCAACGAAAGCGATCAATGCCCCACTGTTATCGCTGTCATCATTTATACGATATTTGTCAAGTTAAATTTAGAAGTTTTGTGTAGTGTCTAGAAAATGTGCACGTTTTTATGTACTGATATTTCACACTGGAAATCATCGGGTAGTTGAGATAAAGCTGAAATATTCAGTCAGATGGTGTAGCAATGACAAGTTAACACAAACTTCGTAAACCACCGCCAAGACACGAGCTGCCAAGTTCTTCCTCAATTGCCGGATTACGGCAAACTTCTTAAGGCAAAGACACACCCAGCTCAACTGTGATGCTTAGCGGGAACCGCGTCTAGTTGTCCAATGGGATCGTTGCCATATGATCGGTGTAACACGAGGATGGCAATGGCAATGCCAGATCACATCGCTCTTAATATCAGGTGCATACCTTAGTAGCTAGATTCAAGATATAGTGTTCGCAAGCAGATGTCTTTCTGGCTACAAGTGACCAAAAACAGCTGTTCATGAACTTCACAAACTCTGGACGGGCACCAGATTTGTTTGAAAGCTGAAAGCAGCTTCTTTCACAGCATTGTCCTTCTTGAGCCCTAAACCCCTTTAAGTTTTGTGCTGCTTGCCTGCAAAGATATGCAGCCTATTTCGGGATACTTTTTTCAAAGTCATCCGGGCATCATTGATGCCATAATAACGTCACTCAAATTCTGGCATTCCACTAGCCATGTGGCGATTAAGGCCAATATGCTACCAAAAGGATATTACGATGACAATGACACCGCGACAGCTCCTACATTCCACCACCCCATATACGGCATGACGCTGCCCTGCAAGGGCCGCGCGAACACAGCCGACTAGGTAGAAAGGCTACGATGATTTTCACCTAGTGGGTACAGGGTTTGAAAGAATGTCTACCCGAACGTCAGGCACGACGAACACCAGGCACGACGAACACCAAACACCATGAACATGGCATAAACCCCACAAGCATCTTGGGTATTCAAATTATTGTATCCTAGCACCCAATACACTTAACTGTTGACGGCTGTCCAAAACACTTGTAATTGAACAAATTTGCCAGCGGACATCGGTATGTATCACAACGAAAAAGCATGCCTTACATGAACTAGATTGCTTAAACCATTTCCCAAGTTTCCAAGACAACGTTTGTGTTGTCAGGTTCGGACGAATATTACGAGTCTGCAAAGATTCTTACGTCGTGAGGTTCGCGTTGTCTTTGGCTGCCGCATAAATGTGCATATCCCCTCGGAAATTTTCCCTCTCCTTTCGGAAATACTGGGTTCACGCCCGCGGGGCGTGGTTTGAAAGTGCCAAGAATTTCAATGGTTAAAGAGACTGTTCCCCAGTGCGTTAGTTGTTCAGTGCACTTCTCATTCATTGTAATTTCAACAAACCTAAATTCACTTATGCTATTGTTTCTTTAAACGCATGTTGCCGAAATATCAACCATCTTTTCCTTCATACTCCCAGCTTTTCTCTGAGGAATGAGGCGACCACTTTCCTCTTATCTACGGGAGTGTTCCCCATTTGTATGGGTTTTTGCAATGAAAGAGCGGACTGGAAGATTAAAGAGTGGGTGACTACAAATATGGTGCTCACGGCCCTCTCTCCTCACCGCACCTCGGTTCACCGCACGCGCCCGAAACGAGCGCCGCCGGACTGATGAGTGGCGATAGAGTGCGCGGAAGGCAAGGCAGTATGCCTTATGCTTCCATATATGCCAGCGGTATGCTTCCCTTTAGCTTTAATCCACCGGCAACCGAAAGTAGTCCGTAGAACTAACGCTGATCAATATGTTCCGTAGAGTTGCACGAATTCAGCGCAAGATGATTTGACACTGACACATTGACAGCTCTCATTCCCTTGTGTGCTCTTCCCCGCTACTGGCTTTCTGCGTTGTTAATTTTGGACCTCATCTGTGTCTTTTGCTCATACTGATTTATGACGAAAAATTACTTCGAATATGGCAGCACTACACTCCTACCAGTATCGACAGCACGTCCGTCAAGTTGGCACCACATTCACATTCAGATTCAGGTCCATATTCGGGACTCAGCGGACTCCTCAAACTGCCCTGAAACTTTGCACACAGATGCAGCTTAACCTCCTGAACAGAATGAGCACAAAATCTCGGACCGGTACGCCCTATTGCCGAAGATGTATCAATATCAAAGATCACAATAAAAAAGGCGGACTCCTTCAATTCCTTCTAAACTCCGTATGCTAGTAGATATTGACCTTCTCATTACGATAAATGCAAAATCTTGGACCGGTACGCTGTATCAAAAAAGTTATAGCCGTTATAATGTCAAGGTCGCGAATGCAGCACACATTGCATTTTGGCTGTGCGTATGCACCTTCCAAAACGTAGGGTGGTTACGCACCGGGCTTCTACACCCTCCAAAACGGAGGGCGGTTACGCACCAGGCTTATACACCCTCCAAAAATCTTTCAGATGGCTGTACGCAAGGCCATTGAACAGAAGGTATAACCGTCCGGCCAAATTCCGCTGTTTCGACTGATGACGTCACAAGTATAATCGAAACATTGCGATGCATAGGCGATACACGCAAAATGTAGTCTAAAAAGTTTGATGAGCTAGTTTAAGACCGTAAGCCTGGATATATATTTGGTTTGTGTGTGACACTACTATCTGTTCTTGCACCAGGTCATAATATTGGATCAAAAGCGTATTTTTCCACGATCGATTGGCGTCGAAACCGAGCGCCTTTTCCCTGTAAGGCCGGGAGGCGAAATTGGAACCACCAAGTTTTCTCGGAAGTAATTGCATGATTTGTATACAACACACAGGAGCCAAAAGAGTTCACGGATGTCGCTTTAGGAGAACTTAACAATTACGCATGGTAACAGGGGCGGTCAACGTCAGGTCAAATGTCTGCATAAGCCTTGCTAACATCAATCTTACCGGTTCTGGGCTAACTTAAGCATGTCTCAGTCTTAACATAGCGTTCGTTGGCTTTGTGAGGATGATGTGTTACTAAAATACTGATGCCATGACCCGTTCAGGTCAAGGTCACGGCACGGAAGATCAGCGATGAGAATTTGGTTACTCACGGGGTCAGTGCCTCAAAACATCTATTCACGTCCATTTTGCCTATGACGCATAAGAAATGTCTATTAAAACTTACAACTTTTTTGGGTAAGTACAGCCAAGATGTAGGTGCAAGGTCAATATGAAAACAGACATTGTCAACACAGCCTAAAATAAGCTAGTCCTGCCGCAGTTTTTAGAACACTTACGATTTTCATGAAATCGCCTTAACCTCATATCGGATCATTCTAGTGCTGAATAAGGAAAAAAATTGTCAGTCGATCCAGAAATTTTCACCTCAGAAACCCTGCAGTGCACAGGACAGAATTATATTAACCCTAAACTTGCGTCATAAATAGCTACTTCTCCGATTACTTCCGGTTTGAAATGAAGATTTTCGAACACATTTAAAAGGAAAAATTGGCATTTGCAACACACTGAGTGTAAGGCAAAAGTGTATTATTGTGGTGGCAAACAAGAGGCCGTACACCGTACACAAAATGGCATACAGAGCACTCGGCCACACATTTCATATCTTAACTATGGCAAAGACACTCAAGAGTAATCATAACAATTTGTGGCGAGGACCCAGAGTCCTTCTGAGCAACACGCAATACAAGACTAGACCACCAACTGAGACAGTTTTCAGCAAACTTATTCTAAACAAGAACCAAGGGCTACCATATACTCAAACACATTAAACAAACACTCGCACACAAGTATCACAGTACCATAGTATATACAAGTATACAAGTACACGCTAGCAGGCATCAGCTCTTGGGGCGGTATCCTTATTCTAAACAGCACGAACGCAGGCACTAACCATAAAGCCTAATAGGTGCTCCTATTCGAAGCAGCAGCGCGAACACTTCTTAACATTATTAGCGACTCGCGGCATGCTGGCGCAGCTGCTTGTCACGTCCTCTGCGCCGCGTCCCTGTCCTTCTGGCGGTTAAGCCAGCGCAGCCGGATGTGCAGCCGCGTGATGGCCAGCTTTCGAAGGATGCGCCTGTCGACGTCTTATTTCACGTTGAAGTGCTGCCTTCTGACGCCTCCACCGCAGCTCTCGTTGTTTCATCAGTCTTTGCAGGCCTTTGTGTCGCTTGATGGTGCGTGTGATGAACGACGCCGATACGCTGATGGCTAACTTTTCACCGCCTCCCAAAACCAGCAGAGTGCTACCGGAGGAAAACCTCAGTTAGATGATGCCAATACGGTAGTACATGCTGCTTAGATGAAGATACAATGAAACTTCATTGATATTTATTGCTCTCCCACTGTTTTACAGACAACTGTTAGATGAGACAGGCCTTGCTGGCATGCAATAAAATTACACGATATGCAGTAAATGTTCTTTAACAGGCACAAACGAGCGCTATTAATGTGCAGTGCAGGTATGAACAATTGCTTTAGTTATTCTGCATATGAAAATTGTTTGCTGTCCAAAATCTATGTTTAATAACACAAAAGCATGGTGTTCATTCCAGCACACACGCCGAAGCCAAAGAATACTCTGCACTTTCCAAAAACTTACTTTGAATGAGGCTCATGTTGAACTGATGGCTTCTTGTTCTTGCTGAGCAGACAGCAGACCTCCTTCCTCTCATGCCTCCCCCTTAAGCATCTGTCTCTGGGCATCTCCTCACAGGCCCTGGGAGATCAGAGCAAAACATGCTGTGTGTTACCAGATAACTTTGTCCTTTGAAGTGTCGGGAGAACATTCAGCGTGTACCATACCCTTTGTAATGATTTGAATCTCACAGGAAGTCACTGGACATAAACTCTGCATGTCAAGACATGCAATAGAAGAATTTCAAAACATTATTATTTGACGAAAAACATGAAAATTGGTTTTCACATGACCGAAGGTTACTTATGTGCATTCCTTTGTTATACTATTCATTTGTTACTAATGACCAATGCATGTGTGACTTAAAATACAGATAAAGAAGCTATGCTAACAAATTGATGTCAGTAGGATCTATTCCCAGGCACTTCTGATGTGCACATAAAGTAAGATTGCCACTCAACCCAATCTTTAATATGCATTGCAATGCAAGCAGCAGGACTGTAAGACTTGATAGCTGAGTGATATGTTGAAAATTCACGCCTTGCTGTTTGCAATACAGAGCCCAGGAAAACATATGTTCCTTGTCCCTTTTTTTCAGTCCACAGGATCCCAAATAACCATAACCATTTAAAGGTTTACTAGGATTTTTATACTGACACAAGTTAATGGGAACCAATCTTACTAGCATCATTTTGATCTTCTTTCAAAAGTGTCAGTGTTATCTAAAATGCATGGCCAACTTACTTGGATGCGAAACATGGCAGGCAAAGCGAAGGGACAGCTTGTGGCTGCAACTTTCGTCGACCATGCTGCCCAGACAGGAGAGATGGCCCAGGTACACATTGGAAGTCAGCTGCGGTAAAATGCAAGCTACAAATCCGAGCAGTGTCTGGGTTGAAAGACTTGTCAGCTCTTTTGCAACCAGCGATCCACTGCGACCTCACCAAACTGCACCAAACCATCACGAGGAAAGGTAAAACAAACTAATCCTTTTAACACTACTGGAAGATCTACAGGTCGCCACCACACACACAAACGGCATCGTGCATGACACATTTCAGACATCGAACATATCTGGCTCCAAACGCGACATAAACAGATCAAACACATCCAACCCGGCACATCACGCCGGCACACGCAAGAACAACCAAACGACGCGCGCTGACGCGAGTCAAGGTTGGTGAAATTATTTTATCTCTTCCGCGGCACGCATTTGGCACTTAGCAAAAAATAAACCTATGGCGATACACAGGGATGACGGAGGGCTGGTTGCAAGGCTGTCTAACGGCAGGTTGTACGTGTCAAGTATACGCTCATTGGCATCCTTGGGATTCCATTGGCAAGGAAGTGCAAAAATGCAGAATCCCGTGCGAGAAGTTGGTTCTTTGCGTGAGGAACATCAAACGATCACTGTGGTATTGTAGCGCAGGGAATTGCGGCAGTGTTTCAACATGTTCCGCTGCGCCGCTTGGAAATATAACCGACTCACGAGTTGATTGCGATGCGCCAAGGCACGTCTTTGGGATTGTGCCTGAAATTATGGTGCGCTTGAAGATTTTGTATGGTATGCACGAAAGCTAAAGAAGTGTATCGTACACGGTGCTGTTTGTGTGTGCGGTAGCCATTTGTTAACCTGATGGTTATGTTAAAGGCACAGGTTTTTCTCCACGATTTTAGTGTAAGGTGGCATTGGGCCGCTAGTTGCAGGGAGTTGAGCGTTTTTGCCTGCTGCCTTGCACTGTGCTTGATTGTGTGTTGTGTTTCTGTAGCTGCATTTCTGAGGACATGTATGAACTTGGTGGTACAAAATCTACCACATTATTGTTATTACATGTTTTAAAGCTGATGTGTTATCTTCAATTAATATAGACACTGCTGGGGTCACTAGCCTATTTTTTTGTTTTTTGGTATGAAAGCATTTTGAGGCATGAAACATGAGCAGTTCCAATGACATCTATCAAACATAATGCTGTAAATATATATGTATAGGATTAGGTTGCAATCTCATCTGATCACACATGGTTGATTTGGGGACTGGATCCCATGTCACATCAATTTTTCATCATCACATTATCCTTAGGTATATGAGTGCATGTAAGCATGTGATGGATATATAATTTCCATGAAAGCGATCAGATATGACATTTTTGTAGCTGTTCCATTGCATGCTTTGTGGTCCAAGCTTCATAACTTGCTGTATGAGTCCAATTATATCAAAGGTATCATAAAGGTATATATATATATATATATATATATATATACACACATAATACATATATATATATATATATATATATATATATATACATAAAGGTAAGGTAAGGTAAAGGTAAGTATCTCTTCCTTTGAAGCCTGATGATAACTGTAGCACTACTTTTTTGCTTAGATATACCAGGGACCTGCAATAAAATTGTCACAGACAGGCACCCAAGAGGGAGGCATGGAAAGAGGGCTGTCTGCAGTCCTTAGAGTGAGAACTGTCACAAGACTGTGCTGCCATGAATAGACATTGGACATGCAGTGGTGCCCTAAGCCACCAATAGGGAGAACTGTGCATGCTGTATAGAAAAGAAGTGCTGTGACCAGGTCTTTTACTTATGTCCCATTGTCATTTATATTTAGAATAGGGACACTGTATGACTGCTCCTGGTATTCAGAAAAATCATGCTGTAGTGTGTTATGCTTGCATAAATAATGGCAGGCTGTGCACTAGGCATTGTCTAATTGTTACAAAAAAGTTTGCTTTCCTCTATTGCTGACAAATTGAAATTCCTACCTCTGAAAATTATGAAATCTGCATTTCAAACAAGACATGAACAGAGTGGTAGCTTGTATGCAGCAGTTTCAAAATTGATTTCCTTACCTGCACCTGGCTATTGAATGCTTTTCAATAGTCCTAGAGGGTTGTAACAAATGACAGGTTTTGATCCCGTCAGACTCTAAGATGACCTGATGCAAGATTACAAGTGATTATACTGGATTCCTGCGGGATAAGCAATCCAGAAACATGCATGACATGACTAGCATATTGTGTGTCATGTTGGCCTCATATGACCTTATCTTGACATTCTACCTACATCTTGACTATGCAGTGACCAGAAAAGGTTGTAGCTGATGTTTGAGCTGCATAACACAATCAAAATGAACATGGAAATGTTTTGAATCATAGATTGCATGATTACAGCAAATTATCATGGTAACCTATGGAATGACCTTGACCTGAACCATTGTGGCATCTACAGGTTTGTGACACAGCATTCTCATTTAGCCAAAGGGCATATAGTTTTTGAGGACATGAAACACTCCAACTGACCCACCCCCTGCAAACATGTAATGGGGGTCTGCAGGCCTTTGCCCTGACCTTGACCTTTGATGTCAGCATGATTTCTAATTGTTTCTTTAAGATGTGCCCATGGACTCTTTCGGTTCGCATATATATTTCCAACTTAGGCAATTAATTCCCGAAAAAGCTTTGTGAGAGTTGTCTCCCGGCCTTCCATCCCAAGGCGCTTGGCTGGGACGCCAGCCAATCAATTATTGATCAACCTTGCAGCTCATATTATGGCCTATTCGGAGGAGAAGTAGTCTCGTTATAGTCTTGTTGGATGGAAAGGTGTATGATTTAACCAAGGCCGTCGCCTCTAATGCGTTCTTTTGTGTATATTGCTTGCTTCTTGAGAAGATGCAAACATGAAACATGAAAAATGAAAATGAAAAAGTTCTTGATTTGGCTGAGTTCATATCACCCTACTTAGGTATGGCGCGATCGAAACACAGCAGGGCTATTTCGTTTCTCCCAGCGAACTGACCAGCAGTTCCATCTCGGGACCCGAAATCGCTAGAGAATGGCACATTTCAATCACCCGTTATGCAACATAGCAGCACCTCGGCGCCAGCTCGGCACCGAAGGTACAGGAGCCGTACCTGTGCCATGAAGCGGAGGTTAGTACCTTCCAAATTTTGCCTTTTCTCAGCCAATGGCTGCTGACACTAAAGCGTAGTGGGTGAAAGTAACAGTGACATTTTCTTATCGCTGAACCTGTGGTGACGACGTAAAAATCATGCTGCCTACGTCCTTCATCTCTGGCGGCAAGCAGGCGTGATTCGGCGCAGTATTTTCGGTGTCACGTAAACCACAGATGAACACCACGTCATCAAATCGCCTACAGTTCATGCATTGGTATATGTCGCAGCACGTAGACAGGTACCAGTGCGCTTTTTCCTCATGCCGCATAGTCGCATCGTCGTCGCAACGGGAAGCCCACCATAGGTTACGTGGGAATTGGACAAAAGGGAAACAGCGGCACCAGGGGCAGAGCCCGAGAATTGCCTTGCCCTGCAGTTTTTCGTATCATAATTGTAAAACCTGCATAACCCCGTGACACAGACAGCGGCGGCACAGATAGCACGCCCCCCCCCCCCCCCCCCTTAGGATCCCAAGGGCTCGCTCAGAGCCCTTGGTATCGACGATTGAAGGCCCGTTTTGAGTGCCCAAAGGTCTGACTGGGGATCGCATTAAGGTGCCTGACGCTGCTGGCTGGGCTTACAAATACCAGTCAGAGGGCTCTGCATCGACTGCAGGGGACCCCTGCGTCGATAAGAGCTAATCGGTCGGTTGGGCACCACCAGAATCAAACATCCGGCTCCTCGGCAGTCTAGGTCTGAAGACCCGTTTCTAAAGCAACGGCAAAGCCGGGGTTCCTATGTCGCCCAGGGTCCCGAAGTGCCTGACAAGGTCCCGCGTTGGGAAGGTGCCCCGGGCCGTCAAGAGCCGTGTTCGAGGGGATCCGAAGACCTTGGGACGAAAGCTCAAGGGCCTGGGCGAAAGACAGAGGGACCGAAGTGCTGGCTGTAGGTTACGACTCTCCGCTGGTAGCGCCGTAGCCTCAAATATCAGTCAGAACGTCTCTTCCACCGATTGGGGACCCCTAGGGCAATGTGGGCCCCTTTTTTCGGCAAGACATCACCAACATCGAACAGTTGTTTTCGTGCTGGTCTGAGTCCTGAGAGCCCGCTTCCCAAGCATGGATGAGGCCGAGCCCGAGGATCGCATTGGTCTGGACCCCTGCGACAAGGAGAAGCCCTTGTGGCGGTCAGTGTCCCACAGTGCCCAACAGAAGCTCCTCTTAGGCCTTGCAGCCACAACAGCTAGCCAAATCATCTGTCGTCTGAATGGATCGCGTCTATCTGGATGCCAATGTTGTTAACAGAAAACGACTGTGCTTCATCGTAGGGTGACAATCTGGACACAACAGACATCTATTGCATATCATATGTTGCATATGTGTATAAAATGTAATACGTAATAGGGGCATGTAAATAATAATTTATAAAACGCATATGTAAAGCATAATGTATAAAACGCATATGTATATTAAACAGGCATGACAGCTAAAGCCACGCGTCCACCGCCGCTGGTCAGCCGTATCACAGCAAGTCAAGGACAACGACATGACACCACATCCGAACGCAACGACATCATGTTTGGCGCCAAAAGAAAGTAACTGTTCATCGACCCACCATAACGTAACTCTGTACAGCTACGCATAATTAACCAATACGCTGCCCCAAACACAAGTGCACCCATGCTGCCATGGCATTCACAGATCCATGACAACCTACCGACGGCTAGGGCAGGTCGTCGTACTGCGTCTGATATGGCCAGCTTAAAACAATGTAGCAATTATCTTACGTTCAAAAGAAGACGGCTGAACTACTTGCCACTCAAGGCAGCCTATGCTCTGGGGGAAACTGCCGCTACTTGCACAGTGAACATATACACGCACCCATACCCATAACATAACCAACAGAACAGCACGTGCTGAACCACATTTCACACACACACCACATTGCACGGAGGCACCAACCAGGTGGTCCTCCCCACAACCACACAACCAATCACATTCTTCATCGAACTGGTTCACCCCAGCCAGGAGCATCTTCCACGCAGATCGGGTGAGGCAATGTCCCAGAGATAGCAGTACATCTGGATTCGCTTTCAGCCTGCCGAGGTGGATGACATCCCAGGCCCGTACGTTCCCTTCACCGAACAGGCCTTCCTTCGATGAGTTCTTGAGAATCCAGCGTAGCATGGCTGCAACAAGGGCCAGTAAGATGTATTTTGCACTATGGAACGCGAGAGATGATGGCAGAAGTGAACGTTACGGTGGAAGAGATGACCCAAGACTA